CATAATAATGAGAGGAAAATATTACCGGTATAATAGACTGAAATATTTAAGTCAAACAAGACCCCAGTACGACACTGAACACTGACATGTTGTTGACTGGATACATGTATATTGTACGCGTGTGTGCTCCCTTTTTCGAGCTGGTGAGCTAGTAATTTTTTTTCAGGAAATATTGCTGGACCCCCTTAACATTTTACTATTACTAGTTGGTTGGTCGGTCGTGGGGAATACACATTTTTCCCTGAAAATACACATTTTCATATTTCCCAATACTCATTTCGGTTTTCTGTGGTTGGCATCTCTGGGGGAGGGTTAACTCACTGACTACTGGACCCTTTCACCTGTCACTAATGCTGAATATTGGCGTTTTTGGGAGTATTTCAAAACACCACCACAGCTCTCAGAATTTCCCTTATTGTAATTATTTTTTGTCACCGTAAAGTGATATTCAAGCTTAATCTAATATGAAAAATTAAAGTTGTCCAAGCTTAATTCTTTAATTTTTTTAATTTGTTAGAAATTGGCTTGAATTTGTTTTCCAAAAATTTTTCAGAGGCATGACAGATGGAATGGAATTCACAACAACAACAAAAATAAAAGTTCAAAGTATTTTGTTTTGATTTGTATGCATGTGTGAGTGTTTGGTGAAAATATAAAAGCTGGGCTGTGCGTTGATTCAAACCTGTACACTGAATTACATGAGACAGATGTTGGGCACAAAGTTGTGATTTTGTTGTGCTAACAATCGCACTAATGCTAGATTAGATCTAGCTCTAAAACTACAACTCGGGCTGTGTTCCGATACATATCCAGGGTCCTAAGTATCAGAAACATCATATTCTGAGTCTCTAGAACTAGTAAAACGAACAGATGTACTACTGAAAACAGCGAAAATATGTGATTTTTGTTCATGCGACCTCTTCGTCCGTTACTTCGACACGACTATCAAGTTACTGTCAACTGTATAGAAGAAACATACCGCTAGTTCTAGTCAGTCCAACCCCAGTTTGGGTGACTGTCCTTCACCTTCAATTACTTAAAAAAATTACCCCGCAACTTCCGCCAAACTCCACTCGAAACGAAAGAAGTGGTAAAACTAGCACTAGAGTCCGTTTCCGTACATGTGACGTGGAGCACAACTTTCGGAACAAAAGTGCAAAGTCCATCCCATCGGGGTACGGAATCTGTACCAGTGAATCGGCCGCCCGTCCCATACCTGTGGTGGGAACTGTAGTCAGTGAGTTAAACCTTATTCAAGTTCTGTGCTTGTTTCTGACCTATCACTGGGCTTTAGGGAACATTGTATCCAAAGACATTTTGTAAATCATCCCATGAAGGACACTTCTTTCTGATACACCGTGGACATGGACTGCTATATTAAATAAAATCTTTCAAACCCTTGATTATATCATAAATATCTTCCCCACCCTAGCCTCAGTAAAAATAAAAGGATTTTTTTAAATTGCCAAAAGATTTCAATATTTCTTTTGTCTTCCTCCTCAGCCCATGACAAGAAGGACTCAGATGGGGAAGTCACCGGTGCTAAATTGGTCCAACACCATGAAAAAGATGAAAGAACAGGAGTCTGTGTGAGTACATGCAGTAGAATAGCCTGGTCTTGAGTGTAGCTTAAAGTTATTGGAAATGATGAGGGGGTCGATTTGAAGTAAAACCTGGTTCTACTGCAAAATTTCAATGTGAATGGGCGTCCATACTGCTAGGAGGATACATCATTGCTAGTTAAAGGATGGATGTGGTTTCTTATATGGATTCCTTGTGATTTATTGATGGATTTCTTTTCTGGTGTAATGTCTTTGCGAACATAAGGATGTATTCCAAGCAAAATATTGAAGTTTGATTGGCTTGCTTGACTTGTATTCACTAAACCCTTACTCTGCTAAATCTAGAATGTGCCCTTTGGTATTGGAAAGCATTAATCATAACTCTAGGACTGTAGGTTCATACGTTTGAAGGTTCAACGGGGTGAAAAGGTCAGAGGAAGTGATGAAATGTCTTTTTGAGTCAAAGGATAATGACAGTTTTTTTCTAATTAAAAATGCACCAACACATGATATTTTTGTATCACAAAGCAATTTTAGTTGATCATGTTGGAGTTGGCAAAAAGGTGGAGTTTAGAAAAGCGTTCTTTTTTAAAATAGTGAATACTCTTGTATTTGATAAATATTTGATCTTATTTTCGTTGCTGATCTTTCCTGATATTGACTATGTGTAATTATGTTAAATAAATACTGCTTTTCAGAAATGCACCTATACGCAGGAGTTCCCGGTTGTTTGGAAACTCCAACTCAAATTCTAGTGCTGTTAAGGTAGGTGAATGGCGGGGATGAAATTGTCCTTACTGCAGTCTGCTTGTTAAGTACTCATAGCTGCCACTTTTCTATTAACATATCGGAAACTCCTCATCATCTAGCTTTTTCCGCTTCTTTCCTCCTTCCTCTGCTGGACCGTTCTCAATCGCATTTGCAAGACTTTTTTTTACACGCAGAAAACACCGAACGGGAGTGAGGCGAAAACACGGCTTGCGCTTGTCTGCCCGTAGCTTCCCATTTTCATTCTGTACCTAGCGCTAGTTTCACATTATTTATTGTGGAGCGACAGTGTCCATCGAGCATTGTCATTGAAAATGGCGGAAATTCAAGAGAAATTGATGCAGAATGCAAAAATAGATAGAGCTGGATTGAGAAAGAAGCAGACGGTGTGCGACTTCAAAAGTTCATTAGAAAATTGAACAAGCCGGGTGCTGCACTTTGCATTTGGTGTTATAAAGAAATCTCGTAGTACAGTGGTAAAGGTGTTGTGTTCTTAATCCAATACTGCTCAACATCGTTGCACACAAGTCTAAAGAGCAGGGTAAAAAAAATATTTTTTTAATCGATTTTTTAAATTTAAATCATGATTTTTTAAATTTAAATCAGATTTTTTATATTTTTTTTATTTTTTAAAAAATGTT